AGGCTCTAGGACTTAGGCTTTAATTTCACCACAGTATAGCCCATGGGGGCATGGCTCAAACGGTAGGGTGGCTGTCTAGCAAGCATGAAGCTCTGAGTTCAAACCCCAGTACCACCAATAAAGTAAACTAGCCCAAGTTCTTCCTAGGAGAGACAGACTCCAACTCTTGCTGGGAGGATTTACCAGGTTACCTTGGGAGCCATTATTAAAATGATCTGTTGTACCTAATATCTTAACAGCTGGTCCGTAGATGAGGAACCTTGAGAAATGAGGAAGGATTGCCATTTGGGAGCAAAGTGGGCTTCTACTCCTAGTGAGTCTAAAATGGGGTAGCTTGATTTTTTTTTTTTTTTTAAATAGGGTCTCATTATGCAGCCCAGATTCTCCTTGAACTTATGATCCTCTTGCCTCCACCTCACAAGTGTTAAGATTACAGGTGTGTTCTACCACCTCAGTTTGGTTTAAGTTTTAACCAATAGAGATGTATGTAGATTTTTTTTATTGTTTTATTATTCATATGTGCATACAAGGCTTGGGTCATTTCTCCCCCCTGCCCCCACCCTAGATTTTTTTTTATACTGGTCATTTGCAAAAAGTATTGTACCATGTAGTTTTTTTTTTCCTTTCCTCCTTCCTTGTCTCTTTTCTTCTCTCTCTACTTTCCTGTACCTCCCCTGACTCCTAATAGGAATTGATTTTTTTTTCATGCTTTAGTGGGCAGAAGAGTATTTACTGACTTCAGATTTATAGGCTTTAAACTTAAAGTTAGCTGAAGTTCCACATGTGCTGTGTAGTAATTAATGACTAAGGTTCTAACCTTAAATTGTTAGTTTCAGGCTTGAATAGGCAGTACTAAATCATTAGGTTAAAAACAGGTAATTGGGGGCTCTGTAATTATGTAACTTGTCACACCACTGTGTGGTTTCAAGTATTTTTAGATTTAAATACATAAGCCCTTAACTTGTTTTAAATTTTAATAACTGAAAGCAGCTTCTTGACAAAAGGTTGGTTTATTTTATTAAGAAACAAAAATGAGTGGGTTGGTGCTTTATTATAAAGAAAATATAATTCTTTGACATCATTCAAATTTGCTTCTGCCTTTATTCTCAGTGCAGGAGCAGTGGGAGAATGAAACTAAAGGAAGACAGGTTGAATAGGCTGGAGGAGAAAAGTTTTCTCAGAGAAAGATTAGTAACTTAGAACACCCCTCCCCATGTACATAATTATGTACACACATATAAATACTTGCAACCACATGACTTTAAGAGAAAGTAGTATAAGTTTGTAAGTAATTACAAAGTTAGCCCTCTAGCTGCCTGTTTTTTTTTTTTTTTTCATTTTTCTTTTATTATTCATATGTGCATACAAGGCTTGGTTCATTTCTCCCCCCTGCCCCCACCCCCTCCCTTACCACCCACTCCACCCCCTCCCGCTCCCCCCCTCAATACCCAGCAGAAACTATTTTGCCCTTATCTCTAATTTTGTTGTAGAGAGAGTATAAGCAATAATAGGAAGGAACAAGGGGTTTTGCTGGTTGAGATAAGGATTAGCTGCCTGTTTTGACTTAAAATAATTTAATACCTTCTATCCAGGACTAGAAATAGCAACTTAGGACCAGAACCTGAGTCATTAATTGCTCTTTATCTATAAAAATGAGGTCTTTGAAGGCTATATAATATTCCATATATAGCTACAGAATAATTTATTTGAATATTCCCTTATCTATGGACATGTGGATTATTTCCAGTTTTTCTCTTACTTTTTTTTTTTTTTTGGCAGTACTGGGGTTTGAACTCAGGGCCTCATGCTTTCTAAGATGGTGCTCTACCACTTGAGCATGGTGCTCTACCACTTGAGCCACTCCACCAGCCACTCCAGTTTTTCTCTATCGAAAACATTGCTGCAGTAAAATTGATATATCTTTGCTTATGTGTGTGAATATTTCCATGAGATGCCTAGAAATGAAATGACTGGATTAAAAGGTATGCAGAGTTGACATTTTAAAAAAGTAGATATGATCACATGGCCTTATTTCCCCACAAAAATGTTATCCAATTTGAGATTCATCAATAGTGTGTGGGGAATACCCTGTTACTTTGACAGTATTGGATAGACATTTTTATTTAGTTAATTGGATGGATGGAAAATACATTGTTTCAGGCTTGATTATATTTGGTTTCTGGTGAGATTGAGCGTGATTTCTTTTTCTTGAAATGTTTATTGTGTATCTTTTTAAACTTACTTTTTAGGAAGATTTTTTTCTTTTTTTCTCTCAGTGACTCGAAGGAGCACTTATATGTTGTTGATCTTTTCTACCAGTATTTAATTTGCTATTTGATTTGGATTATGCTTTGTTTTATAAAACTTTCAAATTAAGTACTCGGGAGGATGAGGCAGGAGGATCTTGAGTTTGGGACCAGCCTGGGCTACATAGTAAGACCCTGTCTAAAAAAAAATGTGTAAATGTGAGATACACAGAATTTTATGTTTAACTTACAAAAGTTGGTGTTTGATTTTTTTCTGATATTTTGTTTTATTTAGCAGTTACTAAGTGCCTACCATGTATCAGGCCCCTTTGGGCATTAACATTCTTTTGTTTATTCAGCAAACATTCTTACATGTTTGGTATTTAACAAATGATGTCACAAAATACAATTGTGAGGTAAAATAGAAGCTTTGCCATCTGAGCTAACACTAATGGTGCAGACAGAAAATTAAAAAAAAAATGTCCAGTAGTGTAAAGAAGTTTAAAGTAGAATTAAAGAGCATAAAGATTGATCGGGGTGCAGTTTTAGGTAGTGTAGTCAAAGGAAGCATTGCTGAAAATGGAACATTTCAGCAAAGGCTTTGGCTTATTTCTTGGTATCTCCTTACATGGTCTTTACTCTGAATTTGCTCATTCTTATGTATCATTGTGTGTCCAAGTTTTGTCTTTTTTTGGGAGGCTGTGGTAGGAGGATCACTTGAGCCCATGAGTTTTGAGATTAGCCTGAACAATGTAATGGGATCTCATCTCCAACAAACATTCCTCTTTTTATAAGGACACCACTCAAAGGACACCATTTTAAAGGCCTCATTTTAATACAATCATTTCACGAAAGATCCTATCTCTAAAGTCACATTCTGAGGCAGTGGGGTTCAGGGCTTCAACATAAGAGTTTCTTTTTTGGAAAACAGTTTAGCCCAAAGCAGTACCAGTCTGCTTTATATAGGCTTCCGAGAGTAAACTTGAAGTATGTATATAGGATGGGAATTGGGAGGTATGCCAGAATATTGAGATTAGAATGGAAACAGGAAGATGAGTTAGGATGAGATACGATGACAGCACATACTAAGGAAATTGCTGTGGAGTTGATGAGATTTATCAGATTTGTAAGGTTTTTTTTTTTTGTATGTTTGTGGTACTAGGGTTTGAACTCAGGGCCTTGCATTTGCTAGTGGTTTACCATACACCAAACCCTTTTTTGCTTTTGTTTTTTTTTTTCAGATAGGATCTCACTTTTTTGCCCAGGCTAGCCTTAGGCGACAACCCTTCTACCTATACCTCCTGTGTAGTTGGGACCACAGATAGCCACCATGCCCAGCTTGTTGGTTGTTGGTTGAGATAGAGGTCTCACTAACTTTTTGCCTTGACTGGCCTTCAGCTGTGATTCTCCCTTCTGATCTTTGCTTCATGATTTATTTTGAGAGTAGAATGCATAGGAGTATTTAAAAAATAGAGCACTTTTATATTTTTTCTCTTGACTAATTTTTGAAAAATGTAAGTTAGTAAAAAGAAAAAAAGGCTCCTTACAAAAACTAAGCAGAATATCCCCCCCCAAAAAAATAAAAACTGCCTTGATTTTTGATATCTGGGACTACTTCAAACTGTGCTATGGTTTGGATGTGTTGGAAGCTTGGTTTCCAATGACTGGAGACCAGAGGTGGTGAGGCCTTTAAGAGATAGGGCCTAGTGGGAGATAATTGTGTTGTGACCATCCTATTGAAGGGATTAATGCTGGTCTGTCAGTGAGTTCATTGTTACAAGAGAGTGAGCTTAGACCGTCCTCACTATCTTGCTTATTTTCTACCATGGGTCTTTTCTCTTTCTTACCCTCATTCCTGGCATGTAATGTTATTTGCCATGTGGCATAGCCAAAAGTTCCTCACCAGAAGCCAGTATGGATGCCATGCTCTAAGCTAAAATAATCTCTTCTTTTAACAAATTATTGAATCTCAGGTATTTTGTGATAGCAGCACAAAATGTATTAAGACACTGCTTAACTGAGATTCTGCATCTCTTATGATTTATCTTAGAATTTAGTTCTGGACAAGTTGTTTACATTCTTGGAAAATAGGTCTTGGATTTTAACCATATATATAACACATGAACACAAATGTAATGCTTTTTCCATCTCATCTCTTACTGAGCACTCATTATGTATAACTTTAAGTTTGAGGTGTGACAGCAAAAGTAGGATGGATTTCTTTTCTCTCACAATTTCATGAATAGAAGATTTGCTCTTACTACAGATCTTAGCCACTTCAGCATACAATTTTTTTTTCTTACTGAGTTGAGAACTTTAACATTTTCACTTAAAGGAAATACTTTATGGCTTTTCTTTGGCATATCCAAATTACCAGCATCACCTCTCTTGCACTTTGGGGACCATTATTAAGTAAATTAAAGGTTATTTGAACACAAGCATTATGATACCACAACAATCCATGTGGTAATCAAGACAATTACTAAGTGACTAATGGGTGGGTAGCATCTATAGCATGGGTATCCCACAAAGGAATGATTCATGTCCTGGGTTGCAGGGAATGATGTGCAATTTAAAATTTAAGAATTAGTATTTTCACACCATGGTTGACTGGGTAACTGAACTTGCAGATAAGGGGGAGCATAATGTAGTATTGCTTGTGTGTGTGTGTGTGTGTGTGTGTGTGTGTGTGTTTGTATACCTGGACTTCATTACAGCTGAATGAAAATATTTTGTGATTTTTTTTTTCTTCAGATACATCAAATTACGGAATGGCTTGCAGGCACTTTTGATTTCAGATTTAAGTAATGTGGAAGGTAAAACAGGAAATACGACAGATGATGAAGAAGAAGAGGAGGAGGAGGAGGAAGATGAAGACTCTGGAGCTGAGATAGAAGATGATGAAGAAGAGGGTTTTGATGATGAGCATGAATTTGATGATGATGATCATGACGATGATGATCTTGATACTGAGGAGAATGAATTGGAAGAATTGGAAGAGAGGGCAGAAACTAGGAAAAAAACCACTGAAAAACAGGTGCGAGTCAAGTCTATATTTGGTGTTTTTCTAATTTGGTGATTCTTTGAGATAATTACTAACTTTATGCTTTATTAATGGCAAAAGGAAGAATGTATTTATCTTTTGATGTTCAGTAAAGTTCTAATCTGTAGGAGGATTATATTTTTAAAACATTTTGCGTTGGTTATAAAAGTAATAAATGCTTATTATACAAACTAATGCAATATAAAGAAAATAAAAGTATAAAAATTTCTCATAACCTGTTAGAGGTAAACAGTGGTAATATTTAAATTTATGTGTATTTGTGTACATTAAATGTTTTATAAACAAATGCCAGGAAGTGAGGATCTGCATAATTTTCAGTCTAGGATAGCGGAGTAAGAGATTGTATTATCCGTGGAGAGACTGGAAAAAGAAGAAAAGAATGAAACTAGTGTAGAATCTTCAACTGGGCCTAGAGTTCAAAGAGTCATCATGTGGGTAATTTCTATCTAGGTAATTAAATTTGATTTAGCTCTTTTTATGGGAAAGTGCCAAAGGTTAAGCCAAAATATGTACATTTAAGAGTTAAATGAGGGAGTTGAGCTTAGTTTAATACATAGTAACAACAAGATACATATCTTGATAGGGAAAATTTCCCTCATGATATCTTTTGGAGAATGCCTCCATTTTGCAATAGGGAGTTTCTGTATTAGAGGATAATATTTTGGAGACATTACAGTGAAATCGACAAGCAAATACTTGCTAAGCTTGGTTTCTTGAGTATTGATAATACATTCAACATGGTATAGTCCATAGTCCATATGGACAGTACAGTCAGATTAAGACTAAAATGTAGCTGGGCGTGGTGGCTCACATTGTAACCCCAGCTACTTGGGAGACAGAGACCGGAAGAATGGTGGTTTGAGGTCTGCCCAGACAAAAAATTAAGACCCCCCCATCTCGACAAACAAGCCAGCTGTGATGATAACAGCTGACTGTGGCAGTATGTGCCTATAATCCCAGCTATGTGGGAAGTGTAGGTAGGAGGATTGCAATCTAGGACCAGCCCTGGGGAAAAATGAAAGACCCTGTCAGGAAAACATCCTGAAAGATAAAAGAGTGGATATGTGGCTCAAGTAGTAAAGTACAAGGCCCAGAGTTCAAATTCCAGTACTGCCAAAGAAAATCAAAACGAACAAAATAACAATATTAAAATTTAGGTATCAAATGAATACATTAAAGTATTCAGCCCTCACAATGTAAAAATGTAGTCATAAATAATAGTAGTTTGGTTTTTTTTTTTTTGAAGTAAGGTCTCACTATATATCCCAGGTTGACCTTGATCTCTTGATTCTCCTACTGGGATTACAGGTGTGGGCCACTAGGCCCAAGTTTGTTTCTTTCTTTTTCTTTTTCTTTTTTTGAGACAAGGTCTCACTGTGTCTCCTAGGCTGGTCTTAATGATCTGAACTAGGCTCAAGATACCCTGCTGCCTCAGCCTCCCCCTTAGGTTCAGTAATGTGTCTATGTGCGTTTTAATTTTTCTCTTTTTTTCAAAGAGGAAAAGTTTCAGTTCATCATCACTTGGTCCCATTGCTTTGGGCCTGTGGTGAAGCAGCACATCATGACAGGAACACATAGTGGAGCAAAGCTGTTTACCTCATGGCCGTAAAGTCAAAGATAGCTAGTAATGTTTTTAAATGAATCCTTTGACAGTCATTCTTTCGTGGGGGGATTGTTTTTAAAAGGAAGGTTATATCAGTACTTTCATTAAGTTATGTGTTTGTGTGTGGGGGAATTGAATCATGTTTTTGCCCCTTTCTCCTTAATTGATCAGGATGCCTGTTTTGTGTAGCATGATCAGCCAAGTGGTGTTAGCTTGGGAAGTTTAGAGATAAAACTCAGTGCTGAGATGGGGAGCTACACACACACACACACACACACATGTCACTTGATATTCTATACTAAATTCTTTATAAACAAATTGGGACTTGATAAATTCACCTTTAATTTATAATAGGTGTCATAATTCCAAATAAAGCAATGATAAAAAGGACGAAATTATAAAAGTCAGAAAAGGAAGAATATGGGTAGTCAGGAAACTTGGTTCTAATTCTAGCTCTGTCCCTGTCTTTATGGATGATCTTAGGCCTTTGCAAATTCTCTCTTCCTCTCTCTTAATCTGTCAGTCAGTCTCTCTCTCTCATAAATAGGATTACATAATTTTGAGGTGCAACTCCAAGGCTGACTTGTTACAACTTCTTAACTAAATGTTTCTAACCTATAAATTTCTATCTTTCTATGTATAAGTAAATTCTTTCTATTTGTAGATAGCTTTTCCCATGCTTTGGACTTCTTTATAATTGATGAAGCAATTGTAGTTTGAAGAGATCAAATAATTCTGGTTCAGAAGCAGTGGATAGACTAGTGAAAGGAAAGATTCCAAGATTGTAACAGTAGAAAATGGCTTATATTCAGAGAACAAGTGTCTGGAAAGGGGAAATAAAGTAGATTAGTCTAGGTAAGAGATGGCTTGAGAATGACATCAGTGTTGAAGTAGTTTTATGGTTTAATTTTTGAGAAATGTGAACCTTTTTTTAAAGTAAGTAATTCTCAGTAACTAATAAGAAAATGGGAAGAAAAACATCTGATCGTTTTTTGGAGAATCTTTACCTAATTAAGAAGTTAATTACTTTTCTGAAGCAACTTTTTCATTATCCTTCTCCATTTCCTTCCTTTCAAATGAAGTTGTTCTTGATTTGCAAAGTTTGATAAATTAACAAGATTGAAATTTAAGCATGACATACACTGAATTACGATTTGTTCAGGGCTTTTGTAACTCAGTTCTCAAGTATGAATTTCTCAAGTATGAATTTCTTGGGTAGAATATTCTCAAGTATGAATTTCTTTTCTAGCAATCGCAGAGCCTGTTTTTGCTGTGGTCAAAGCTGACTGATAGACTGTGGTTTAAGTCAACTTATTCAAAAATGTCTTCAGCCCTGCTGGTCGAGGCAAGAAATCTTTATGGGGTAGTTGGAGCTGAAAGCAGGTTAGGCATCTATTAAACATCACAGAACAGGTTAGACTGTGGTTTGAAGAAGTGGATATTCCCACGTTTTAACTGAGTGTATGTGTCTAAGTCTTAAAAAATGGAATTTATAGTATCAAGTGAGGCTGTTTGGTTCTTCTGAAACATACTTTCCTTTTCTGACATGTGGTTGAATTTATTTATTTTTTAAAGTTTTTTTCCTAAGAGGATAACCATTTATCAAATCTGTTTTACCAGATTGATTAACCTTGTAAAATTGATGTAAAATTTGGAAAACTTAGTATTTACCTTCCTATTTTCAGGTACTCAAATTGAATGTTTTTCTCTCTGTTTTTTGTATCCTTTAATTTACAATGATAGAATAATATGCCCCAATCATTTTAAGTACAAAGTTTGGTGTACCTCTTGGCCACTTATTGTTAAAAACTGATTTTTCCAAGGTATCGGGAGAGTGTATACTGATAAGTAATGTATGATACATATGTTAAATAAGAAATGAAGAACTAAAAAGCCTCTTTAAAGTCTAGTTCTGTAGTTTTTAATAGCTAAAGATTTTATCTTTAAACTACTTATTTCCTAAAATGCTATTTTACTTCCTCTTTTCGTAATTATAAAACTGAGTAACATATGGAGAGGTTCACATCTTAGTAACTTAGTTATCAATTGTAGAGCTTTAATTGCTTAGAAATCTTTAATCTACTTAAGAATGTCATTTCTGCAGATTTCCAAAATCTAATAATTCAGGGAACAAACTTGGTTCAGAATTCTGAAATGCTAACATGAAATGATTATGGGTGGCTGGCCAGTCCCTCTTCCCTTTGTTTCTGTCTGTTTCTGCTTTTTTTCCTTAGGTCTGCACCTGTTCAGCATTTGGCAGGATGGCCAGTGGAGGAGCAGCAGGGTGAAACTGACACAGTTCTGGTGAGTTTCACTTTGCTGCTCCTCCTGATTCTCAGGGAAAGAATTTTGTTAAGTTTCTATTGGAAAACTTCCATCTCCAAATGAATCCTTAAGATGAGATGTTAATAACATTCCTTTAGGATTGACTCAACTCTTTCTTTGTGTTCTACTTACTCCAGTCTGCAGCGGCTCTTTGTGTTGGAGTTGGGAGTTTTGCTGATCCAGATGACCTGCCCGGGCTGGCACACTTTTTGGAACACAGTAAGATCTTATAAAATATCATTCCCTGGTGTGGCTCTTTTTTCCCTCCTTTAAATTTGTTTGAATTGATTCAAAGATAGTAATTGGTTTGATAAGAACTATGATGTATTTAGTAAGAGAAAAGCTAAGAAAAAAATTTTGTTTATGAATATCCTAGGAGGAGACTTGTAATCTCTTTATGTGTACTTATATTGAAACCTGTTTTATAGAATGAAACCTGTTTTAAAACATAGTCATTATTATTCAGGTATGGTAAAGTCAACAGATCAGGAGACCGTTGCCATTCTGTTGGAGTTGGCTAGCCCTGATTGGGGCAGTATGTTTCAGGGTTAATAAGGACCAAAGATGTTAGAGCATCAGAATGAAGAAAATAAAAAGGCACGATTAGCATAAAAACAAAACAAAATAGAAAAAGTTTCTATTCTATAATAGTTTCAATTTTATTTTGTGAATGTACCTAAATAAAACCTATGTGGATGTTACATAATTACCAGTATTTAATATGTATTTGCTTTTCTGAATTGCTCATTTTTTATATTTTTCTAAGTTATTTGAATGTAAAGTTCTCGCCTTATAACTTTATAGTAGCATTTAATGTGCATTCTGCCTATGTTTAACTTTTTACCCGTTTATAAATAAATTGTCTTATGTTTAAAAATTAAGTGTTTGGTCAACTCCCTGTATAGCTATCCTTATCTCAGCCAGCAAAAACACTTGTTCCTTCCTATTATTGCTTATTCTCTCTCTACAACAAAATTACAGATAAGGGCAAAATAGTTTCTGCTGGGTATTGAGGGGGTGGAGGGGAGAGGGAGGGGGCGGAGTGGGTGGTAAGGGAAGGGGTGGCGGCAGGGGGGAGAAATGACCCAAGCCTTGTATGCACATATGAATAATAAAACAATAAAAAAAATGAAAAAAAAAAAGAAGGAAACAGGAGTAAAGACTCTTCACTAACTTCTATCGATAAAAAAAAAATTAAGTGTTTGGTTTTTCTTAGTATAAAGTAGTATATGAACATTGCAAATGTTGCAAAACAGCAGTGTGATAAAGTATTAACCAGACATAACCATTGTTAATATGTTGGTATATTTTTCTTTCAGCTTTTCTACACATACAAGAAGAAAGTTCATCCTTGATGATAAAAACATTGTCTATATCTTTGTGTTGTGTGACTCTCTGTTCTTTCATTTAGTGGTATTCATGGGTAGCTTGAAATATCCAGATGAAAATGGATTTGATGCCTTCCTGAAGAAACATGGAGGTAGTGATAATGCCTCAACTGATTGTGAACGTACAGTCTTTCAGTTTGATGTCCAGAGAAAATATTTCAAGGAAGCCCTGGATAGGTAACTAAATAAAATTAAAGCATATTTTAATTTTACTTATTAAGTAACATTTTACAAATGGAAATATTGAGCATGTTCTGTTATTTCTTTCGAAGGAGTAGTCCAATTCTACAGAATTGTTATAGAATACTTTATTTGGAAAAAAGAACAGACATTATGTTGGCTCTTATTCTGTAATAGCTTAAGTCTTTGCATGAAAAATATAACTGAAACTCTTAATATCTTTTGAGTTTTCTAAATACTCTGTTCTGACTCATTATTGCAATTTTTTTCCTAATTGTAAAAAATATGGAAAAACAGAAGCAAAAAGGAAAGATTGTTTCTTAATTTACAATCTAGAAATAACCAGTGAACATTTTGTTATGCAGCTGTATATTTTTAATGTATAGAGACCATATGGTTCATACCCTTTTTTTTTCTTTTTCAGATCCCCTCCTTTTTTAAAAAAAAATCTTTTATATGGCTGGTGTAGTGGCTCAAGTAGTAGAGTGCCTGTTTAGCAAGCTTGAAGCCCTGAGTTCAAACTCCAGTAATGCCAAAAAACAAAACAAATTTTTTTTTATTTTACCACTTTGAGCTCCCACCCCAATTCATATCCTTTTATAACCTGTATTTTTA